TTGTCATGCTCTTAAATCTCGCCTAATCTATGGATAGCCCTTCTGTATATTCTTCTTTTTTTTTTGGTCAGTCATGGGGACTGAATTCTGGGCCTGGGCGCTGTCCCTCAGCTCTTCAGCTCAAGGCTAGCCTCCTACCACTTGAGCCACAGCGCCACTTCTGGCTTTTTTCTGCTTATGTGTTGATGAGGAATCGAACCCAGGGCCTCATGCATGTAAGGCAAGCACTGTACCACTGAGCCACCTTCCCAGCCCTGTATATTCTTATTTTCTGAAATTTACTTGCTGAAGAAACTGATGGTTTGTTTTGTAATGTCCATAGTTTGATTTTGCTAACTTCATGCCATGGTGTCTTTTGGTGTGGAGGGGAGAAGGAGCAGTACTAGATTTTAGGCTCAGAGCCTCATGCATGTACTCAAGAGGTACGCTACCACTTAAGCCACTCCACTGTCCCTTTTTGTGTTTTTTGTTTGTTTTGTCGGTCATGGGGCTTGAACTCTGGGCCTGGGCACTGTTCCTCAGCTCTTCAGCTCAAGGCAAGCACTCTACCATATGAGCCACAGCGCCACTTCCGGTTTTCTCAATGGTTTATTGAGATAAGAGTCTCATGGACTATTCTGCCCAGGCTGGCTTTGAACCATGATCCTCAGATCTCAGCCTCCTGAGTAGCTGGGATTACAGGCGTGAGCCACAGACACCCAGCTGTGGTTTTGTTGTTGTTGTTTGTTTTGTTTTGAGATAGGATCTTGCTTTATGCCCAGGCTGGCTTGGACTGTGATCCTCCTATTTGTGCTTCACTGAATAGGGAGTCAGGAGTGTTCCACCACTGTGCTTCCCTGGCAAGGGAAGCCCTAGCCATTGGTTAACAGAGAATCTTTCAAACCTCATTTCTCCTGCTCCCTACCTCCCAAATAGCTAGGATTACAAGTCTGAGCTACTATGCTTGCCACTGTGTCTGGCTACCCCATGGTATCTTTTATTGTCTCTTACTTTTCTTGTTTTCTGTAAATTGACAGGTAAATAGAGTATTTTTTTTTCATCAGTACAGAAGCTTGACTCAGGGCCTCACACTCAGCTTACTTGTTCACAGGTGGTGGTATACCACTAGAGCCATGCCTCCAGTCTGGCATTTTGCTAGCTAATTAGAAACTTTCCTTCCTAGGCTGATGTCAAGCCTACCAAGTAGCTAGAATTACAGGCATGGTCTGTAAGTTTTGATCTTTCTGCCTCAGCCTCCCAAGTGCTGGATTACAGTAATGTGCTATGATTGTATCCTTGTGCTTAAAAAGAACCTGGACTCTAATGATAGTCACTATGCAGTCTGTATGCATTTTAGGTCATAATTGTTTATTGTGTTGCTCACTATTTTTGTATCATTATTGATTTTTCTTTCACTGTATGTATAGACTTATGTATTATTCCTTATTAGTCTTTTCATTGATTTTTACACTGTCAATTGTGTCTCCTTGTATCTGTCAACTGTTCACTTATTCAAGTATTTATTAAGTGCTTCTCTATAGTAGCCACTATTCTAGTTTCTAGGGACAGTTCAGTGAACAAAATGGACAAAAATTTCTAGAATAAGTCTAGAGAGACAGATTAACAAAATAAAGAATCTCAATCCCTTTCCTAGTCCTGGTACTGGGGCATAAACTCACGGTCTCAAGTTCTCATTTGGATGGTGCCCTATCACTTGAGCTATTTCTCTACTTCCTGGCTTTTGCTGGTTAATTGGCAATAAGAGTCTCTCCAATTTGTCTACTTCAACTGGGTTCAAATGGTGATCCTCAGGTTTGAGTGTTCTTAAACTGAAGCTTTTATATTATGAAGTGATGTTCTGTAGTAATATTTTCCAAGTCTTTTATGTGATATCATATAGCATAGAAGTTTTCTGTGAGTTCCTGTTTGTTTTGCATATTTTTTCAACCTTTTATTTTTTTTTAGCTTTTTACTTTTACCTTTTCTAGGTTTGTTTTGTTTTGAGTTTTATCTTTTCCCTCCACCTCTCACCTGGCCACTTAACTCTGCCTTAACTTTTATGTTTCAAATATATTCTTTAAATAGATGATGCGTTAAAAAAAATTTTTTTAACTGGTCCCAGGTACCAGTGACTCACATCCATGCTACACAGGAGGCTGAGATCTGAGGAGCAAGGTTCAGTGCCAGCTGGGGCAGGAAAGTCCATGAGATTTCTTATTGCCAATTAACCACCAAAGATCCAGAAGTGGAACTGTAGTTCAAATAGTGCTGAAGGCACTAGCTTAGGAACAGTATCTGGACCCTGAATTCAAACCCCAGGTCTAGCCTGTGTGCATACACACACACACACACACACACACACACACACACACAAAATTGTTTTTAGCTAGTCTGACAGGATATTTAAGCACTGTTTTAACTTTTAATGTGTGAGTTTTTGTCTGTTAATGTAGTTTTTTCCTTTGTCTTAGCATAGAATTGCTGGATCTTTAGTTATTCCTTGTTTTATCTTCTGAGGATGTGCCAGATTTTTTTTTCTCTAAACTAGCAGCAGCATTTCACAATCTCACCATTTGTTTAGGAGTATTTCTCTACATTCTGGCCAACACTTTTTGTTATCTTTCTCAGAGTATAGCCATGACAGTAGGTACAAAGAAGCATATCATTGAGGTTTTGATTTTCATTTTCCTGTGGGCTAAAGAGACAGAGCAACTCTTCATCTGTTTATTGACAAGTTATCTTCTCTGGAAAAATGTCTTTGTAGATCTTTTGCCCATTTTTTAAGTTGAGTGATTTGTGCCTTATTATTGAGGCATAGAGGTCCTTTATATGTTCTGAATACAAGTCTCCCCCCACCCCGCCTTTTTTTCTGGTGGTTCTGGGTAGTTGAACTCAGTTTTTTTAGTTGTAAAAAGGAGTTACCATTCAACAAAGCAGTTTATGAATACAGTGCATCTGGATCAATGTCACTGCTTTCAACATTTTTACCCATCCCTCCCAACCCACCTTTGAGCTCAGTTTTTTTACAATAGGGTCTTAAGTGTATGTCAGGCAAGCCTGGACTGCCATCTGTGAATTTACAGTTCCCATGTAGCTAGGATGACAAGGTGCATCACCATGTCCAGAAAATTACTGAAGTGAAGGTCTGGTCTTCATGCCTAAGGGCTGGTCTTGGTCTGTGATCCTCCTAATGTCTGCCTCCTGAGAAGCTAGGATTACAGGTGTGAGCTACTGGTGTCTGGATGAGGGTCCTTTATCAGATACATGACTTGTAGATTTTCTCCCATCTGTAAGTTACAAATTCATACTCTTTTGTGTTTTACTTCCTTCTTTTGTTATTGTGCTTTTTACATCATCCAGGTGACTCAGCATCATTTATTGAAGATGAGTGCCATTGAATTACCATAGCAACCTTGAACTTTCCTGTAGCATGTCAGCTAAAGTCAGCTCCTTTGGAGTGTTTTGGAGCTTTCTCTTTTTAGGGACTGCCTGTGCCTCCAGACAGAATCTCTAAGACCCTAAACAGGAACTGGTATCAGAGAATAGTTTGCTGTCTGGGGAATGATATTCCTGCTTCATGAGCAGGAAGCTGGGTCTTCTTAGTTTATATCTCCTTTTGTGAAACAGATTCCCCCTCCCACTGTGAGTGAGCTCAGGGGAAAGCAATGAGGGTCCCAAATCTTGTCCTGCTGCCTGTACCCTATCAGGGCAGAGAAGGAAAACCTCATGACCACATTCGCCAGGAGCTTAGCCTCGCAACTTAGACCCAGGGAGGGTTGAGAAATCTTGCTAGTGTGTTCCTTTTAGTGAAATGCCACATCTACCCACTGCACAGCTGTAAATCCAAACACTCCGAAGGTTAAAGCAGGAGGATCATGGGTTGGAAGCCAGCCTGAGCTTCACAGCAAGACTCTGTCTTAAAATATTTTTTTTTAAAGGGAGAGGGTGTACACCCATGTAGGTGCTTGCCTAGCATGTGGGAGGCCCTGTTTCAATCTCCAGCACTGCAAAACAAAATGTAATGAAAAATAGAGAACAACAAAATCTTATTAAGACTGTAATTGGATGCTCAAGGAATAGGAAGCGCCCCCTCCTTGCTTTCTCTGAACCAGACTATAGCTTCTGTCTGAACTGTGGAATAAGCTTAGGAGCAGGGGAAGCGGGGGAGCGAGCAGGTCATGTTCCAAGTGTTATTAACTCTTACTGTTAAAGATTTAGATACTTAGCTGGAGACATAGCTCAAGTGGTAGAATACTTGCCTGAAAAACTCAAGTTCCTGAGTTCAAACCCCAGCACTGCCAAAAAAAATTTCTTATACGTCTCTTTTACAGTTCATTTAAATATTGATCAGCTGTGTGTGTGTATGTCAGGTGTGTGTGTGTGTGTGTCAGGTGTGTGTGTGTGTGTCAGGTGTGTGTGTGTACAGCCAGGCACTGGTGGCTCACATCTAATCCTAGCTACTCAGAAGAGAGATCTGAAGATCATGGTTTGAAGCCAGCTGGGGCAAGCTCACCCCATGAGACTCTTCAATTAACCATCAAAATGTTGTAAGTGGCGCTGTGTCTCAAGTAGTAGAGTGCCAGTCTTGAGAGAGAAAGCTAAGGATCAGCACCTGGGCTCTACATATGTACATGTAGATATGTAGATAGCTACATGTAGATAGCTATATGTAAGTATGAAACATATACACATGGAGTAAATCCCTTCTGTATTTATATAAGGCAAGAATATGACTGGCTACCTACAGTTAAGCTGAGTTCATTTCCCATTTTACCACTTTCCAGATGATCAACCTGAACAAGTGTCTCAGCGCCATCAGAACTAAGTTTTTTTAAGCCACAAAGTTGAGACACTAATCCCTCTCCCACTGGGTTTTGGGGACACTTAAATGAGCTTGTCTAAATACTATATGGTGTGCACAGTGCTTGCATAATGCCTGGTAGTGCTTGATAGGCTTTTCCAAAACCTGGAGCTAGTTATTGGTGATAAATACAATTTATTCTCATTTTCTGGCCTGGCAGTTCCTCTGTGACGAGGGAGCAGGTCTTTCTGGGGACTACATTGATCGGGTGGATGAGCCCCTGTCCTGCTCCTATGTGCTGACCATTCGGACTCCTCGGCTCTGCCCCCACCCTCTCCTCCGACCCCCACCCAGTGCTGCGCCACAGTCTATTCTCTGTCACCCATCCCTGCAGCCTGATGAGTACATGGCCTACCTTCAGAGGCAAGCTGGTAAGTGATTAGAATTGTAAGGAGAGAAGCTAGGTGCCAGTGGCTCATACCTGTAATCCTAGCTAGTAAGGAGGCTGATATCTGAGGATCATGGTTCAAAGCCAGCCTGGACAAGGAAAGTCCATGAGACATTTATCTGCCAATTAACCACCAGAAAACCAGAAGTGACGCTATGGCTCAAGTGGTAGAGTGCTCGCCTTGAGCTGACGAGCTCAGGGACAGCACCCAGGCCCAGAGTTCAAGCCCCAAACCAACAACAACAACAAAAAAGTGAAGAGAGGAGAGAGATGGGGATGGGCAGGCAGGAGGTAGGAATGTGTCCCTGTCCTGCTTACATGCTGTTTTTCCATAGACCCAAAGCAGGATGAGAAGAAAATCGCAGAGGAGGAACAAGCTATAGATCATCCAATGTGGACTGAGACCAAGTCTAGGGTAGTGTCTCCAAAGAAATCAGGTAGGGTTTTACCTGTTTCACAAAACTGTCCTCCCCCTAACCTTCCCTGTCCTGTACTGACTGGGCCTCCCCAACCCCTTGGCAATAATGGAGGGAGTAGACTTCATCCTATTTGCGCTTTTTCTTCCTCCCCTTCAGATTCTCTCTTGTTCTCTGCATCCCAAGGTATAAGCCTAGCCAAGGATGAAAGCAAAGAATCAGATTTCTGGAAGATGCCTCATGAGCTAGAGAACCAAGCCCCAGGAGAGGAGGAGGTACAGGTGGAGGTGAGAACCTTCTTCCTAGTTTGGGGATGGGAGGGTCCTTCAGCAGAGGCCACTGTGGGGAAGCTTCCATCTGTTCAGATTCAAGGATATCCCCAGAACCATTGCCTAAAGAGCATGCTGGCCATAATCTGGCTTTCAGAGGTAAATCTGTTCTTTCTCCTCCTTAGGAGCAAGATCTGAAGCTTGAAGCTGCAGCAGATCCAGCCCCTAGTCCTCCTGACGGTGAGTCAGTCTCTATGTCTCCTTTACTTCTTGGCTCCAGCTTGCAGGGCTAGGAATGTAGGGGAGAGCTAAATGGGGAGAGAGGCAGACAACCAAGCCAGCAGGAAACTCTTCCTTCCTTCCTTCCTTCCTTCTTTCTTTCTTCCTTCCTTCCTTTTCTCCCTCTCCTTTTCTTTTGTGGTGCGTGGGGATTATACTCAAGCATTGGAAGTTATACTCAACTACCAAGTTATACCTCCAGCCCCAGGGAGTTCATTTTTACCTGAGTTAGTCCTCCTTGTAGTCTACTATTTTAATCTCCTGGATGATTTCACTCAATTTTCATTTCTTTTTTTAGATTTTGTACCAGTACTGGAGTTTGAACTCAGGGCCTGGGTACTGTACCTTAGGTTTTTCACTCAAGGCTAGCACTCTACCACTTGAGCCACAGCTCCACTTCCAGCTTTTTGGTAGTTAAAGATAAAAGTCTCGTGAACTTTCCTGCCTGGACTGTCTTTGAACTGAGGTTTTCAGATCTCAACCTCTTAAGTAGCTAGGATTATAGGCATTGGTGCCTGTTTTATTTACCCATGAAATAGATGGGTAATAACCCCCATTTTAGTTATGAGATTATGAGTTATGGTTATGAGATTAAATTAAAATGAATCTATAATTCACAATAGAACACCTAGAACTGAGAAAATAATGGATAATTAATATTTGTGCAAATGGCAAAGAAAAATCAATGGAATCAGAGACTTTCTGCAGCCCTGAAAACTAGAGTTTTTTTGTTTTGTTTTTTTTGGTCGGTCGTGGGGCTTGAACTCTGGGCCTGCGCACTGTCCCTCAGCTCTTCAGCTCAAATCAAGGCGAGCACTCTACCACTTGAGCTATAGTGCCACTTCCGGTTTTCTGGTGGTTTATTGGAGATAGGAGTCTCACGGTCTCTCCTGCCCGGGCTGGCTTTGAACCCCGATCCTCAGATCTCAGCCTCCTGAGTAGCTAGGATTACAGGCGTGAGCCACCAGCACAAGGCCAAAACTAGAGTTTTGCTAAAAGGACCCTAAGAAGTGTGTGGAGGAGCAGGGGTCTTCACTTGTTGGCTGTGGGCCTTCCTTAGGAAGAGTTCTCTGAAGGGTTGTGTTTGCCATTCTCAGCTACTAGACAGATAACTCCTGGAATCAGAGAACATGTCCCTCCTTGGACCCACATTGCCTCTCCTTAGGATTTATTTTTTTTTATTTTATTTATTTTTTTTTAGTGTTGCATTCATTTTTATTATTAGTTTAATTCAATTTTCTTTTCCTTGACAGTCTTAAAACATTCATTTTATACTAAACATAAAGCAAATGATTTTTCCTAAACACAATGCAAATGATTTTTCAGTTGACCCTTCACATAAAATAATAAAACAGGATCTCTTCTGACCCAAGTCACTGGAAGAAAAAAATCTAGTAATTATCTCACTTAAATGAATCTGTACTTGATGAATGGCACAAATATACGATAATACCCCATATTTTTAAGGCAGAGTCATTGTTCACCATGGTCTGGGAAGAGCTTAGATAGTTGCCTATAAAGCAAATAACTTTATCTTTTATCCTCACTCAATAGATTCTTTCTAGTCTAAATTTTCAGTTTATGTATGTGCAAGGACTTTTGATTTTTATTTATGAATGTGACTTCTAAAAATAAGACTCCCAAATGATGGTACAAAAAATAGTGTTTAGTAACTAACATATGTGAAAGTTAAATAAGTTCCATAACTCTTTACTGAAGAACTTGAACTTTGTTCCCATCTCTAGTTTCACTCACAAATTCTCATTTTTTCCATCCTTCATATTGAATAAGCAAATACTGGTCCTCACAGTATACGTTGGCTTTCCATATACATTTGCTTCCCTTTTGTAACATGTTGCTTAAATCTTGCAAAAGGGAACCCTTTGAGCCTAGAGAGAATCCTATGTGCTCCTGTTAGCAATGAACAAAGATGGTGCAGCCACAATTTTAATGTTCTCCTTAGGATTCAGAACAAAAAGTTTGCTAAGAGCCAGTGGCTCACACCTGTAATCCTACCTACTGAGGAGGCTGAGACCAGAGGATTGTGGTTTGAAGCCAGCATGGACAGAAAAGTATTCAAGACTCTCTTCAAGACTCTCATCTCTAATTAACCAGCAAAATGCCAGATTCAATGGCTCAAGTAGCTTGAAAAGAAAGCCAAGGGAGAGAGTGAGGCCCTGTGTGTTTGTCTCGTGTCAGCACAAAAAAAAAAAAAGATAAATAAATAAAAATGTAAAAATGTAATGCCTGTCCTCTCATCTCAGATTTCCAGAACAATGTGCAGGTCAAAGTCATCCAGAGTCCTGCAGACTTGATTCGATTGATAGAAGAGCTGAAAGATGGAGCGAAGAAGGTATGAGCCCTGCTCAAGGGAGAGGTGCAACCTGCTTCCTGGCTGGGGGCATTTGAAAAGCCACCCCTATCTGGACCCAATACCTACCTGGAGCCCAATAAAGCTGAATCCATTCCTCCTGGATCCCCCAGTACCACAGTCTGCTACTGTCTGCCTCCTCCCACAGCAGGTATCACTATTGAAACTCCAAAACATTCTTTGTTTCCCCAATCCCTGTCCACCCAGGGGAAGCCAAATTTAGGCCAGGAGCAGCCTGGAGATAATGCTGCGGAAGCGCCTCCGAGGGAAGCAGAGGGGAAGGAAAAGGGTGAGCACCATGCTGCGCTAGAAGAAGAGGACAATGATGAGGATGAAGCAGAAGATGAGGATGAACGGCAGTTACTAGGAGAATTTGAGAAGGAACTGGAAGGGATGTTGCTCCCATCAGACCGAGAACGGCTTCGTTCAGAGGTGAAGGCTGGCATGGAGCGGGAACTGGAGAACATTATCCAGGAGGTGAGGCCAGCTTGTACTCCTGAGGCTCCCACAGCTACCCCCCTCTGGTTCTGATTCTGTGGAGCTAGACAGGCTGAGGGGCTGAAACAGAACCAAAGGGCAGCACCCAGCACAGCTCAGCATAAGACACACCATCCCAACGTGGGGTTGTTTATTTAAAGAGGGTAACTGGGCACTGGCATCTCACGTCTATAATCCTAGCTACTCAAGAGGCAGAGATCTGAGGATCATAGTTCGAAGCCATCCCAAGCAGTAAAGTCTGTGAGACTCTTTATCTCTGATTTAAACACCAAAAAGCTAGAAGTGAAGGTGTGATTCAAGTGGTAGATTGCCAACCTTGAGCCAAGAAACTAAGAGACCATGCCTAGAGACCATGCCTAGAATAACACACACACAAACACACACACACACACACACAGAGGGGGGCAGAAGGGATGAGAGACATAAGTGAGACCCAGACCTTTGACTCTTGACTCTTCACTCCTCTTGGGATTTCCAGACAGAGAAAGAGCTGGACCCAGATGGGCTAAAGAAGGAGTCGGAACATGAAAGGGCAATGTTGGCTCTGACCTCCACGCTCAACAAGCTCATCAAAAAGCTGGAGGAGAAACAGAGTCCCGAGCTGGTGAAGAAGTACAGGAAAAGGAAGCTTTTCCCCAGAAAGTCTCCCCCATCCCCCCACCCCACAGGTGAGAGTGAACACACAAGAAGCAGCAGCTGTGTCTGTTGGCTTTCCCTCCCAGCTAGTGCTGTTTCCTCCAGGGACCACGGTGTCCCTTTCTGAGGGTGCAGCCTCTTCCTGTCTTCTGGAACACTGTCCTCACTGGTACCTCCTTCTCACCACTGGCGACCCTCCCCTCAAGTGTGGTTACCTCCTAGTCAGCTTTATAGAAAGCAGCTTTTAGGGATTGGGAATTTCCACTACAACCACCACCCCGCCGCCCCAGGGCTATTTGGATATTTATTACATCATTCTCAGGCCATACAAAAATTATCAATATAGGCAGATGGCTGTGAGCAGCCAACGAAAAGTATACATGTCTGTCCTGTCATGTACCAAATGATTTCTTGGACCTTAGGGCCTGAAATTCAGACCTTCCCTACCTAGAGAGAGTCTGTCTTCATTGCTGGTTTGTTCCTTTATGCCCAGCACCTGGCACTCTGCCTGGTGCATGGATAGTAACTGAATGACTGTGAGCCTAAATGCAGAAAACCACACCTTTTGAGAGGGATGCAGCCTGCTCGTAGGGCTTGCACCCTGGTTGCTGGTGATCCCCCAGTTTTGAATAGGTAAATCCCTGCTCCATATAAGCTGCTAGCCTAGATATAGTTTTGGTTGTTTTTTGTTTTTGTTTTTTGGGGGCAGGATGGTTGTTTTTTTTTTTTTTGTCAGTCCTGGGGCTTGAACTCAGGGCCAGGGCAATGTCCCTAAGCTTCTTTTGCCAAGGCTAGCACTACCACTTGAGCCACAGCACCACGTCTGGCCTTTTCTGTTTATATGGTACTGAGGAATTGAATCCAGGGCTTCATGCATGCTAGGTAAGCACTCTACCACTAAGCCATATTCCCAGCCCCTGGACACACTCATTAATGATTCCTTCTTGTACCTCCTTGTATTCAATCCACAGGGTTCTTTCTACATGTATGAAGATCAGACATTCCAAATGGAACATTCTAGTATCAAATCTTTCATCCCACTCTTTCTGTAAACATCAAAAGATATTTAAATTCCCAGCATGCAGAGAGCCAAATCATAGTTTTCCAACTTGTTCCTCCTTTGCTAAGTGTAGATGGTCTGATTTTTGCTTCTGGAAAACATGGCTGTTTTCTTAAAGCTGATGGGCAGAACTATGGGGTGGGATGGAAAGAAGGAAAGCTATTGCTGAGGGGAGAACACTATTTTTGTTTTGCATTCTGGCCCACCTTGGTGTTGAGATGAAAGAACCATCAAACCCAACTGATGGCTCTGGAAAAGGTGACCACCACAGCCCTGAACCCTGGAGTCACAGCTCTGCTTTGTGTCTCCCTGTGTGTCTCCCTCTCTAAGAGGAGGATCCTGAGCACAGAGTCCGGGTCCGGGTCACCAAGCTCCATCACGGAGGCCCCAATCAGGATCTGACTGTCCTCGAGATGAAACGGGAAAACCCACAGCTGAAACAAATCGAGGGGCTGGTGAAGGAACTGCTGGAGAGGGAGGGACTCACAGCCGAAGGTGGGCCCTGGAGGGCGGGCTGATTAGCGCTGTCAGAGGGCTTTGCTGCTGAAGTGGAGGGCTGGGTCAAGGTGGACTGAAAACCTTGGCTGGGGATCCGGGAGGCAGGGAATCCCCAGAGACACCCTGTCGTTCCGATCTCACCACCTATACTGCTCCTTCCCAGGGAAAATTGAGATCAAAATCATCCGCCCCGGAGCTGAAGGGACTGAAGAGGACGCACGCTGGCTGACCGATGAGGACACAAAAAACCTCAAGGAGATCTTCTTCAATATCTTGGTGAGGCATCGTATGCCCAAGTCCTAAACCTGCAGTCCCCTCTTCCCCTTACTCCCAGCATGCTGTGCTGCTGCGGGTGAGGCCCAGTCACACAGGCTGTCCTGCTTGCCACATGTTGAGCTTCAGACTCCTATCTGGAAGGCAAGCTTGTATTCTGGCTGCCACTCAGGCATTGCCCCTCAGGTGACTCTTCAGTCCCTGCCTTCCCACTGCCAGTCCCAGGGACTCCCTGGATCCGGCAGCACCCAGTGCTTCCCCAGGATTCCAGTCAGCACCTCCAGCTCAACCCTGCCTTCCCATCAGATTCAGGGAGCAGAAGAGGCCCACAAAGAGCGCCAGCGACAGAAAGATCTGGAGAGCAATTATCGCAGGGTTTGGAGTTCCCCAGGCAGAGAGGACACAGGGGACCTGGATGAGTTTGACTTCTGAGACCATCACCGCAAGACCTCCAAGGAGTCCACAATCTTCCTGACTGGCCCCACCTTCTCCTCACCTCCCCTGGGATCCTAGAAGCAAAATGATGGCTGCTAAGCTGTGGACTCCTGGGGCCCAGTCATGGGGTGGGCGTGGGGGTGCTGAGGACTGTTGCATCTGCCAACAGCCACCCTCATACCACACTGGATCTGGGGAGCTGCTTGCTCCGACTCTCCTACATGCCCTTCCTTTGCTCCTTGGCCTTCCCTGGTATCTTCCCCTCTCTTCTTCTACCTAGATCTCCTGATCTTACCTAGATGAGTAAGATCTTGAATGGGGCAGGGCCGATCAGCAGGCCCCAGTAAAGCAGACTGCCCACCCATGCCCTGTTGCTGTGTAGCATCACTGCCCCCTCCCCTAGATTTCCTTCTCCTTTCCTGCTCCTACTGCCCCCTACAATCCCTGTTTCTGCGTCAGAGAGCCTTTAGCTCTTTCATTGAGGAAATGGGAGAGCGCTGTACATCACCTCGGACACAATCCAGCAAGAGAGTGTGATGAGGAACCACCCACCACGTTCTTCAACAATCAGGTTTCTAAATAAAGAACTGGACCATCAACCCATTGACCTTTTTGGGAATAGGTGGGTGGGGAGACACTCAAATAGGGAGGAGGCTTGCTGTTCTTTTCAGAGTGGAAGGCACATTCTCTGATCTAGTGATCCTGCCCACCTTCTAGATGTTATCTGAGGGTCTGGGGTATACAGGCAGAGACCATGCCAGCTGAGCAAAGCTAGATATTGACATCCCTCTTTCCTTATTCTCCCCCATCCCAATCCCATGCTAGAAACAAGCTTCACACATGCTAGGTAAGAATTCTACCATTAAGCTATATCCTCAGCCCAGTTGTTTCCCGTCATTAGCATCAATCTCTTTCCTTTTCTTTCCCTCTTTATTTTCTGAAAGCCAAACTGCAACCAAAGAGACCTCACATGTACACACACTCACTTAGCACCCTGCCCCAGGCATCATCTGATCTTTTTCCAACTCCACTTGCACCCCATACACCCATCCCATACCTACCTGGTCACTTGCCATTCTTCAGAAAACACCTAAGCCTGTAGCCAGAGAGGCCTATGCCCACACATGCCAGATTCAGTGTGCAAAGGATAGGTGGTGTTGGTGTGTCCCATCTTCTCCTTATCGCCAAGTACAGGTTGCGGTTCTCTTCATTCCTGCTTTCTCTCCCAGGGCAGAGGCTCTCCTCCAGCCCTCCAGTTTGGAAGTATCTGGTCTCTAGCTCCAATGTCTTGCAAGAATAGGAAAGGTGCCTATGGCTCATGCCTATGATCCTAGCTACTTAGATGGTTGAAATCTAGAGGACTGAGATTCAAAGCCACCCTGGGCAGCAAAGTCCTTGAGACTCTATTTCCAAAGTTACCAGCAAAAAAGTAGAGTACCAGCCAAGCACAACTGAGGCTCTGAGTTTAAATCCTGGTGCAAGGGGAGGTGACGGTAACAAGCAAGAGGATCTTCACCACCACCTGAGTGTAGGATCCATTGATGAAAGAACTCACCAGAGACTGAACCTCTTCTTGCTCAGTATGGACTAGATTTTATCATTCATGTTGCACCTAAGTTGTTTTGAAATATGAAAGGCAGATTTATAATCCTCGCTTCCCCAGCTCCATGTAAATACCTTGAGGGGAAGGATGTTTCAGCTGGGCAATGACTTAGAAACTGCCTTGAGAGTGGCTATAGGTAGAACTCGGTTCCAAGCCTCACCCCTCAATCTCCCATCAGCGGAGGCTTGAACAAGACATTTAACTTTTCTTTTTGTTTTTTTTTGGGGGGACCGGTCGTGGGGCCTGAACTCTGGGCCTGGGCGCTGTCCCTCAGCTCTTCAGCTCAAGACTAGCGCTCTACCACTTGAGCCACAGCACCACTTCCAGGTTTTTCTGTTTATGTGGTGCTGAGGAATTGAACCCAGGGCCACATGCATGCGAGGCAACAACTCTACCATTGAGGCACCTTCCCAGCCCCAATATTGAACTTTTCAAATGCTATTTCTATATTGGTAAACTGACAAATAGCACTGGTTACCTTGTGGCCAGTGAGGACAGAATAAGGATCTGGCCTGCAGTAAGTATGCACCAACTCAAACCAGCTTCTGAGCTGCACACTAAAGTATTTGGAAGCATCTTAGACGAAATCCTAAAAGCTGACTGAAAGTTAAAGAAGCATCCTTTGGAAGGTTAAGAAGAGAAAGACTAGGCCAAATTATCATTGGTTTGATGGGGATCTAGTCTCAACAGAAAACAGATCTGGAAACCTCATTGTGTTTCATAACTGTACTTTCCAGTAAAACAAATAAACAACAAACTCCTTTTTCTTTTGGCTCTTAGCAAATCTGTGGAAGTCAGTCTGCCCCAGCTGTGCTAAGGCAAACAAAGGGAGGTGTGTGGCAGATGGCAGCCAGGAGCAGGTGGGGAAAGGGCTGGAGGATGACAATGTGAACCAAAGTGAGGACACCCACAGTGAGCTGTGGGGTTGGTATTAGCCTACAGTGGCAGCTTTTCTTTGCCTACCCAGGAACTCTCCTACAGTCCTTTTCTGCCTTAATCTGGGGACTTGATGTTCTCTTACCTATCACAAGACCAAAGACAGCCCATTAAAAAATAAGTGTGAGGCTGGGTGCTGCTGGCTCATGCTTGTAATCCTAGCGACTCAGGAGGCTGAAATCTGAGGATCACAGTTCAAAGCCAGCCAGCGAAGGAAAGTCTGTGAGATTCTTATCTCCAATTAACCACCAGAAAACCAGAAGTGGCTCTGTGGTTCAAGTGGTAGAGCTCACCAAGAGCTGAGGGACAGCACCCAGGCCCAGAGTTCAAGTCCCATGACCCAAAAACATAAAACAAGTGGTTGCTTGGTGGTGGGATTTGCTATGGGTTTTGGTGACACCTTATTTCTCAGTGGCTGAAAATTAGACCTTCCCACTGGCTCATGGTTCCCTTTGCAGGTAATTTCATTCTCTCCAGGTCACTTTTCCCCTATACTCTCATGTTCCAAGCTTCTGATGGAGTGGGCATTTGCAAGAGAAGGAAAGTAAAAATGAATTGAGGAAATCCAAGGTATTTGGGCTGAACGTGGCCAGGTCCACCAGTCAAGTCTTTGCTACTTCCCGTCTTCCTCACTTTACCTAGACTATACTTGAATCTGTACCTTGTCCTGCACCTGACTCCACCTCTTCCTGGGTCCTGTTGCTGTGTTGGGCAGTCACCCAGTCTTCAACTCTGAAGAGCAGTAGCCTGTGTGCGTCATACCTAGGCCTGGTGCTGTGACCACACATGTAATCAACCTGTACATCTGCAGTTGAACACCTTGGGGTTAGAAGGTTGGAAACAACTCTACCCAAAAATGGTTGGTGCCAGAGACTGATCCCTCAAAGTGGGCAACAACTCCTGGGACCCAACAGTCTATCAATGCTTATGCTTTCAACTGCTCCCAAGAAATATTGGGTCCAGTGCCAGTGAATCACACTTACAATGCTAGCTACTCAGGAAGCTGAGTTCAAGCCCCAGGATTGGCACACAAAAAAGAAACTTTTGGACTAGCAGCTCAGGGTGACAACGGGTGGGGTAAAGCCTGAATTGGGTGTCATGAGCTTGTGGACATCAAGGAACCAGAACTGACAGGAAAATCTTTTCCAGAAGATCTTTCATCTCTTCACTCCTAGACCTTCTGACCAGGCCATGAGAAGGATCCCTACCATTAGCTCTGCTCTGATCAGTACTGCAGGAGAGCAGACTGGCCTAGGATGCCCTTCTAGGGCTATGCCTCTGAGCAGATAGTTTTCAGATTATAAATAGACACCACAGAGGACACCTGCCCATAATTTACTAGCTAACGACCAGAGGGGCAGGTTTCAAAACCAGATCCATTCCTGTTTGTAAATCAGAGCAACCCCCAGGCCTGTTGGTTCCTCCACATACCATACCTGAACTTATTCCCAAAACTGGCTCACCTTATGAGTCTGTTTCTTTTCTTTCTTTTTTTTTGGGGGGGGGGAGTCCGGTTGTGGGGCCTGAACTCTGGACCTGAGTGCTGTCCCTTAGCTCTTCAGCTCAAGGCTAGCGCTCTACCACTTGAGCCACAGCGCCACTTCCGGCTTTTTTCTTTTTGCTTATGTGGTGCTGAGGAATTGAACCCAGGGCCTCATGCATGCAAGGCAAGCGCTCTACCGCTGAGCCACCTTTCCAGCCCCAGTCTGTTTCTTTTCTACTCTGTTACCACAGCTGGTCCCACCTGCCCATCTCCTACTCTCAGTTCCCACAGCTGGTCCCACCTGCCCATCTCTTTCCACGACACAAACCCAGGACTGTTGCACAAGATGAACCCACTGCCATGTCCATGGCTACTGTCCTAACACCAGCCCAGAGGGAGGCATCTCTGCCTGGCCCTTTCCCACCTTCAGGTCCCCACCTTGACCAAAGCCACACCCTCACCTGTCTCTTGAAGAACAGACCAGCAGCTCACCCCCTAGACAAAATCACTTCCTCTTTAATTGCTGTTTTAGATTCACACCACCTGCTTCCCAGGAGGAGATGAGGGGGGCATCCCTCCCTTATCCCCACCCCACTCCCTCCCCATTACCTGGTCTTTTGCAAAATATTTTAGCCAGGAGGAAAAAAAAAAAAGAAAACAACCGGGAAACCACTGACACAGACGGTCCAAGGGCTGGGTTGATTGGGGGGGGGGGAGATTGGGGAGAACTGGAAACCATAGCAGCCACCACGCATCCTCTCAGCCCTGGCAGGGGAGGGAAGATGGGATTAAGGAACGGGTCTGGAGCTGCTCCGGTGGGAGGGAGGGGCTGGACAGAAAGAATAACGGGGGAGGGGTCCCACTGTAGGGGTGCCCCCCTACCCCAGATCACCACGGGCGCTGCACAGTCACAGGTACGCAGTCACGGTCACAGACACTCACAACCCAAGAGAGCACCCCCGCCCCACCCCACCCCTTACCCACCCTTGGCTTCCCCTACCCCAAAAAGCCCTCCCCGCGCCCCGGCCCCACCCCACCCCCATGTTGGGGAACAAAGCAATAAATTACAAGGCCCTTCTCCAGCCCCCTCAGGCTCCTTTCCTTCTCCCTCCTGATAGTAGGGGAGGGACCCGGGCTTTTGGCTCCCCCCTGGCCCTTTCGCTTCATCTATAGGTAGATGTAGGGGGACATCCTAATTTCCACTCCTCATGGTCCCTTTCACGGAAAGGGTTGGGGACCCCCCCACACACACACTCTATGGGCAGCAGGGGTCCTGCCCCTCGCTGCCCTTCCTCCCCCTTCACTGGGCAGTGAGATCAGCATAGAAGGGACGGGGGTCCCAGTATTGGTCCCAAGTCCCAGGGCTAGCCCTTCACGTACTAACCCCTCCCTCTGGCGTGGCGTCGCCCCAGGAGCCAGCCTGGGTTTGGGCTCCCGCCTTTGGGGATTGTTCAGCGCAGGCAGGTAGGACTGGGTCTTTTCCCACCAACAGGGGGCGCGAATGGGCATGTCCAAGCGCCCTGGGGCCTGCGCTGCGCGCGCGCACGCGGCCAGAGCATCCCCTTCTGCAAACACCGCGCGGGTAGACCCAAAGCAATCCGAGTATGGAAACAGTGGAGAAGGGGGTGTGTTGAGCTGTGGGGGTAGGGGGGAAGGGTCTCCATGCCTCGTTGGGGAGAGGAAGGTGCGTTTGTGTCTTCTGGGAGGCGTGGGGAGGGGAGGGGGCTGTGCCCTTGTGGGGGGTAAGGAAGTGCTCCCGTGGTGGGGGTGGGGGGCGGGTTGAAGAGGTGAGTGGGTGCATCTGTCCAATGGTCCACCCGGTGTGGTCGTGCCCGGCTCGCCTGAGGGGGTGGTGGGGATGGGGTGTCTCTCCCGCTGCTGGGCAACTATACCAGCGCTACCGGGGCTTCGACGCGGCCCACGCTAGCGGCGCTGCTCCGGCGCCGGGGGCTGGGCGTGGCGGTCATGCTGGGCGTGGTGGCGGCGCTGGGCGTGGTGGCTGCGCTGCCGCCCTCGCCTGGGCAGCCGTGCTGGAGGAGGATGTCTGCACACAGCTGGCTTCCAGCCTGACGCGCGTAGAACAAGGCCGTGCGGCCCTGCGCGTCGCGGGCCGCCACGTCCGCGCCGTACTAGAGGGCAGAAAGAGCCCGGTGACTGCGCGTCCCCACCCCGTCCGTACCTCCACCTTCTCTACGCTTCCTAAGTCCGTCTCCTGTACAGGTTCCCTTTGGGGGAAATGAGGGTTTCCCGCACCAGGCTTTATTTTTGGGTGCCGATCCAAGCGCTTGAACTCTGTCTGGGCCTGAGCGCTGCCCCTTGAGCTCTTCAGCTCGAAGCAAGCGCTCTACCACTGGAGCCACAGCACCACTTCCGGTTTTCTGGTGCTTAATTGGAGATAAGAGCCTCACGGACTTTCCTGACCCGGCTGGCTTCGAAACTCCTCCTTTACACTCACCCACAACAGCAGTTGCGTGATGACAACGTGGGCGAGCTCCGCAGCCAGGTGAAGTGGGGAACGGAGCTGCGGGTCCTCTACGCTGGTGTCCAGCGGCCCGTGTCGCGCGTGGGCCAGAAGCAGAAGAACAGCGGCCACGTCCTGGGCCTGTACCGCGGCCCACAGTTGGAGGCCCAGCGGCTCCTCCGTGGTGCCCAGCGGCGCCAGGAACAGCAGCTGCTCGTACTTGGCGCGAATCCACGACTCGCGCTCTTCCCTGCAATACCAGGGATCAACAGAAGGAGTTCCAGAAACCTTTAACCAGGATTTCTGCGCCTTTGCCCCAGAGGACCTGCCCGAGGCCAAGGGATTTTCTCCGGGGAGGGGCGGGGGGGAAGGCCCACAGATCTTGAGCACTACCAACCCCAGGCCTTTCTGTTTCCTTTACGCTTACCGCGAAGAGTCCCGCGTGGGCTTGGCACGACCCCGAGTGTCGCTCTCCCAGATGCGGTTGGCCGTGTCGTTGCCAATGGCAGTCAGCACCAGGGTCAGCTCCCGCGGCCAGTCATCCAAATCCAGCGAGCGAACGCGGGACAGGTGTGTGCCCAGGTTCCGGTGGATGCCAGAACACTCGATGCAGATCAGTGCACCCAGGTTCAAGCTGGCCCACGTGGGGTCTGGGGACAGAGTGCAGAGGTAGGCTCCCAATTGGGCAGCATGGAATGACACCCCAGCATTCACTGACTTCAGAGATCCACACTCCCTAGCCCCGGTATTCCCCTTCCCAGGCCCCTCCACTGTGCCACTGCACTCACTGGGGGCCCCACAGTCCACGCAGATGGAGTTTCCCTTGGCGTTCCGGATTGCCTGGATAGCCACAGCTTCACTCTGGCTGTCTGTGCGCAGCTGCAGAGCAATGGGTGGTGATTAGTTAGTATTGACTCTGAGTGGCATCTCTCCCCATCGCTCATCTTCTCCAACACCTTGCTCTCCTCCCAGCCCCCTCTCTCTGCCCCCTCCCCAAACCATTACCTTGACCTTGCTGCTCTCACAACACTGCAAACTGGCTAAGATCTGACTCTCGATGGCTTGGACCCAGGCATCCCGCTCTTCAAAGCTGGCTGCCTCAAAGTGCCATGTCTGACCAGTGCTGGATACAATCAGGAACTCAAAGTTTTCCTCTGGGTAGGGGGATGGACGGGTACCATGAGGAACAAAGTTCAGTCAGGGGCCTTCCCAAACCCTTCCTCCCTGATGTCTGTCCCAGCCCCTGGGAGTGGGGCAGTGGGGAAAAGGGGAAGCAGAGGGCAGGGAAAAGCAGGAAGCCCCAGCGCATGCAGGGAGAGGCAGAGGCACCCCCACCCCCTCTGCACCCAAGCTGAGTGCCCCTCCAGGCTCCCCGCTTGTTACCTGCTTTATAAATATTTCTTAAACTACCAAAGGATTTTAGTTTCCACATTTTGCGCTTGGCTGGTTTCCCGAAGCGAAGGAGATAGAGATAGAATGGAGAGCAGAAGAGAGAAAGAGATACCAAGAAAGAAGGAAAAGACAGGCAAATGGAGAGATGGAGAGAGACAGTAACAGAGAGTGCCAGAGACAAAGCAGGACAGACAGATGGGGAGAGAAAGCAGAACTAAAGTCAGTGGCCCCAGAGCAGAGTGGAGCAGAAGCCAAGAGCCATGAGAGTAGGCAGATCTAGAACCCGAGTCTGAGCACCCAGCAGAGAGCAGGGGCACTGGGGACAGGTGTCATGACCAGTGTCATGGGTCTCTTTAGGGGTAGGGAGAGTCAGGAGCTGGGTGAACATGGGAGAAGGGGACAGAAGCTGGGCCACAGGCTAGGAGGAGAGAAGCCCTGGGGCTCAGGAGAAGTCAGTGGGGCTGGGGAGTGGGGTGAAGTCCTGGGGAAAAATAATGGGATCACTATGGTCAAGGGTTGTTGGGGGAGTTTGGTGATCACTGTAAGTTATTTCAGACAGTGACCAGAGTCCAGGACCTGGTGAGCAGAGGGGACACTTGAGTTCAGGAGCTGAGTCAGGGTTGTAGGGGCTGTGGGGGGTCAAAAGTTAAGCTGAGGGCAGGAACAAGAACTAGAGTCCTTAGAAGAGGGAACAAGAGTGTCATCAAGAACAGGGAATTCTTGGGAAAATGCACTGGCTGGGAACAGGGGAAGGACAGGGGATGGGGGTGTCCACCCATTTCTCCATTAAATTCTGTGCAGTGGTAATGATGGTCAAGCACTGAGCTCAGGCACTTGACCTCCAGCTGCAGGAGCTAGGTCAGAGATATGAGGGTCCAAGATGGAAATGGGACTGCCCACCAGAGCCTCACCTTCAGCCTGTACAGCTGAGCCTTCAGTCTTGGATGGTGTTGTCAATTTTTTCCTCCTCTGCTTCTTCACCATGGGAGAAGGAGGGGGTTCCCGACTCAGGGGGCTCAGGTCTCCAGATGGGGTACAGTCTTAGGAAGGAGGACACAATTGCCTCATTTGTCCCATCTGCAGATTTCCTGATTTCTTCATAACCTATCTCCTCCTTTGAACTAACTTTGGCATTTCAGAGTCTCAGTCCCCAGTTGTGTCTCTCTAGGGGGATCCCCTGGGCAGATAAATGGCTTAGAATCAGACCTCTACTCCAACCCTGGCTCTGCCACTTACTGACCTTGGGCCCTTGAACAAGTCACTTAAGTCTGAGTCTCAACTTCTTCATTCCTAAAATGTGGATAGTGATCTTGACCTAATGAGGTTGTTGTAAGGAACATTTGTTATGTTACTTGATGTTTAAATTATATCTACAGATCTGAGTCTCTGTGTATCTATCTACTTGGTCTTTATATCTTTCCAAGCATTCCAAACACTAATACACTTACACATGAGAAAACTAAAGCACAGAGAGGCCAAGGAACTTGCCCGTGTGGCAGCCAGCATTTGGGCACAGGCAGTTTGGCTCTCTAGAACCTACTTGTGGTAACTGTCTTGATAGACATGATGTGTGAGCCTGGTGCCAGGTGCCCAGCAGACACTCCATGTGTTCACTTATGTATTCATTCCAGCTCCAAGCCTCCACCCTGATTTCACTTTCCACCCACATCCCACTTGGATCTGGAAGACAGTGGATGGAGGGCGGTCCCACTAACCGGTGCTGAGGGCTCGGGCCAAATTCCGGTCTGGCTTCAGCAGATGCTTGGATGTCTGGTCTGGTGGCTGCAGGGAACCGGGGCTGGGACTGGGGCTTGGCATGGGAGTAGTGACTTCTGAAAGAAGGAGAAGATGAACCTCTCTGTCTCTCAGCCCTCTTCCTTATATGGAATTTCTTTATCACCCACCCTCCCACTTATCCATTGCCAACTCCTACTTCCCTTTAGTCCTCCCTTTTCTCCTGGCACTTCCTCCCATTTTGTCATAGGCCCACCCACTTACCAGGGCCTTCACCCATCTGGACAGTGCTCATGTCCTTGACCAGCCCGTTGATGCTGGCTGAGGGGCCAAAAGCAGAGATGGCTCTTGGGGGTCTTTTGCCTGGGACTTTGACTGTCGTTCGTAGCAAGTCCATCTCCTTGCCATGGGTACTATGGATGTAATCCTGGAGGAGGACCAAGTTTGGGTCTTGGGTGATGCTGGAAAGCAGTTAATAGTATGGGAGGGGGGAGATGAGGCCATAGTAGCTGACTGGGCTGGGATGAAATTCTAGGGGATGGGCCCTAAGAGATGGACCATCAGAGTTGGTTTGGCCTTTCCTCCTCCAGAAAGCATTCACAGGCTAAGGTAGGCTAAGGACAGGGCCTTCCTGGGTGCTCTAGACTCTAGGTTCCTGGAAGGTAAATTTACCTTCCCATCACCAGTATGGACAGATGGTGGGCTCTGAACATGCTTGCTAAACCTTAAAGAGCAGGTCTAGAGCTTCCCAGAAAGATATGAATGCTTGTCAGAGGCACAGAGAGGCAGAGCTGAAAGACATACAAGGCTGGCCCTGTGGCCCACTCTCTGCCACTCACGTTAATGCTGGGATGGTAGAGTAGGAAGCCGTTACTGGACAGGGTCACGTATTTCTTCTTCCATTCTTTATTCAAAGAATTGCCACTTCTCTTTAGTAGGAAGCTCTGGAGTACAGAAAGATGTGTATAGGGGGGAAAAGCCAGCTGAGACCAGCCACCCCACCCTTCCTCCAGCCCCAGACCACTTACCTGTTTGATGGGGATGGCTCGACCACTCCCTGTTGTCTCTCCCCGACTGTCCAGGCTCCGCTTCTCTGAGTCACTCCCTCGACGATTCTGGAATGGTTATTGGAATCAGGATGGATAGAAGGATGCACTGATGGAAGGACAGGGAAGACAAATGAAGAAGAGCCCTACAGAAAAGCCCTAGGAATGAGGGATGATGGGCAAGTAACAGAGGACTAGGAGGGTGGAGGTCAGCATATCCAGTACCGCAAAAAGGCTGGTCCTCCGCTTGGCCGCCCTGTGCAAAGATCCTGGAGTGCTCAATCCAGCCACTGCTGCTGCCTCAGCTCGGAGCTCCCGGTGGCCAACATTGGGGGAGGATGGAAGAGAAGAAGAGTAGTCGCTAGTGTGGCCCCCATTACTAGCCTGAGGATATATAGAGGAGTCAGAAGACATCTGCTACCCCTTCCTTCACCAAGCTACAATACTGCCATTTTTTGGGGGGGGGGAGTCCGGTTGTGGGGCCTGAATTCTGGGCCTGGGCGCTGTCCCTCAACTCTTCAGCACAAGGCTAGCGCTCTACCACTTGAGCCACAGCGCCATTTCTGGCTTTGTTCTTTTTGCTTATGTAGTGCTGAGGAATCGAACCCAGGGCCTCAGGCATGCAAGGCAAGCGCTCTACCACTGAGTCACCTTCCCAGCCCTATACAGCCATTTCTTGATCTCACCATTATTCATTGTATTGATAATAAAAATCTTTAACAATATTGTTTAAGTTGCTGGGCGCTGGTGGCTCACACCTGTAATCCTAGCTACTCAGAAGGCTGAGATCTGAGGATCACAGTTCAAAGCCAGCCCGAGCAGAGAAATCCATGAGATTCTTTTCTTCAATAAACCACCAGAAAACTGGAAATGGCACTGTGGCTCAAGTGGTAGAGAGGTTACCTTGAAGAGCTGAAGAGCTCAGAGACAGCGCCCAGGCCCAGAGTTCAAACCCCATGACCAACAAAAAATATAATATATATATAAAATATATTTTAAGTCAACCTCTTGCAGAAGTTGACTTCATGTGTATTATGCCTTACAATCTTCCAGATAACCTAGGGAAGTTAAGTAAGTTGCTTAAGGACACTGCAAATAGTGTCTCAAACCTGATTTCTAGTCCATTGCAGTTTTGTGTATATATACCAGTACTGAGGCTTGAACTCAGGGTGTGGGCACTGCCCCTAAGATTTTTGTGCTCAAGGCTAGCACTTTACCACTTGAGCCACAGCTTCACTTCCAGATTTTTTGCTAGTTAATTGCAGATAAAAGTCTCAAAGACTTTTCCTACCCAGGCTGGCTTCAAACTATGATCCTCAGACCTGTTTCCTGAATAGCTAGGATTACAAGCACCAATCACCAAAGCCCAGCTCCAAAGCATTTCTACTAATGGTATCACTGTCATTTCCCCTTGCCCCTCTCCTCTGCCAACCTCCTTCTGTATGTTCTACCAGTCTTTGTATTCCCAGCCCCCTTTACCCATTGTCTCTCACATCCCCACTCACCTGCCCAGCTACAGGAGTAGAGGCAGCTGAGTGGCTTGGGGAGCTAGGCAGGGACTTGCAGGCAGCCAGGAGTTGCTGCTGTTTGCGCAAAGTCACTACCTTCTGGGACACTGAAGGAAGGGGAAGAGAGAAGGGGCATGAGCAGGGCAGTTCCCCAAGACCATTCTTCCATTCCAAGTTAAGAGAAATCCCCTGAAGATAGAGTAGGCCCCAACTTTCTTGTTCCTGTTGCTTCTGTGCCACCTGCAGCCCCCAGGCCATCTTGTTGCCATACCACCCATTGGGCTTCTGGAGCCCAGAAAGATGAATGACTATTAAGCAAACCTTTCTCCACCTTTCCTCCCTCTCAGAGGCTAATTTTCAGCCACTGGAAAACAGAGAGACCTGAATATCTGGCCTCTAGAATATCCCAGGCCTCTGGCTCCCTGCTTCCCATAGATGCAGAGGATCACCACACTCACCCTCCTGGAAGACCCGATCTACATTGAGCCCATAGGTTGCACACGTCTCATAGTAACTGCAGCGCTTCATGTCTGTGCATAGAGCCCTGGCACGAGCATCACCTACCACCCGAGGAGAGGAAGCGCTGATCCTGTCTGAGGGGACAGCAAAGGGGCAGCATTAAACAAGGGGCCCTTTCCTTACTTTACATGATTCACTTTCCTCTGTGCTCCAGGCTGAGGATGGGTCCACTGGAGGTATATATGTTCCTCTGAGTTCTGGGTCCAACTCACACATCTACCTGAACGGAAGGAGGCTAGGTAAACTCTGTGTGTGTATGTGTGTTGGGGGGGGGAGAGAGTGAGAGAGAGAGAGAGGGGGGAGAGGGGAGAGAAAGAGAGAGAGAGAGAGAGAGAGAGAGAGAGAGAGGGAGGGAGGGAGGGAGGGAGGGAGAGCGCTTCCTGATGGGGTTTGAGCTTCCTGACAATGGCTGAGTCTCAAAAATGACATCACCCTGCCAATTGGTCATGAATAAGGAGCTACCTGGCATGTGACCTGGTGGGGGGGGGGAGTTAAATATCTATCGTTAACAGGTGGACTGCTCCCTCTACAGTAAGAAAACAGGATGCAAGCAACAAGTGGAGGTGCACACCTGCAGCATCAACATCAGACAGAAAGTCCTGCCAGCTGGACACAGGTGGGCATTGGAAAAGCTCTTCCTGACTTGGTCTGGTAGAGTCTGTAAGCTTCAATCATTATTTTGAGAACTAAGAGGTTTTCTCCAACATTTTTTTGTGTTTTCTCTTGGTTTTTAGACACAGTTCTTTAAAAAGGTGTCAGACTGACCTAGCAATACCTAGTTATAGCATGAGGAAAATGGGAAAGATTTTCTTCCCCCCTTTTTTTTGTGCTGGTCCTGGAGCTTTTTTGTGCTGTCCCTGAGCTTTTTCACTTAAGACTGGTGTTCTACTAGTTGAGCCACAACTCCACTTCTGGATTTTTGGAGATTAATTGGAGATAACAGTCTCATGACTTTCCTTCCTTGGCTAGATTTGAACCTCAATTCTCACCTCCTGAGTAGCCACTGGTAACTGGCAGGAAAAGCGATCCACACTAGGACTTGAAATTATTGTGTCCCACGGCAGTGGTGTCAGGAAATGTATAAGAACTCAGGTAGATGACATCTCAGAAGAGGCACAGAAATAGTTACTGTGACTGTCTTTTCCTCTCTGGGGGACTTTTTCTCTGTTTATACCTTTTGAAGCTTGTGTTTATTTTCACGACTCTCTCTTCCTTGGAAATCAGATTCCCTTTAGAGAGTTATGGAATCTAGGTATTCATTTCCACACTTTACCCAGTTCTCACCCAGATTGGGCAGTACCCTGGTAGCATCCTAAGGCCTCCCCTAAAATTGGTTGCTTCCTTACCTTGTGTCCCCACCAATGCCAGGGCCAGGCCTCCTCTCCCTTCTCCCCGGAGAGCGCTCAGCTGCCCATGGAGACGGCTCACAGCCTGGAAACTGTTCTCATCCTCCAGGCTGAAGACAAAGATCACAGCATCTGCCCAGCCTGAGAACTTGTGGGAATGAAAGGGAAAATGGAGGGTCAGAGAGATCCATTCCTGGATGCTATCCAGAGGGAGACATGGGAATCCAGGGAGCTCTCCTTTGTCCAATGCTGAGCCCAGCCAGCCAGCCTACCCACCCCACCACTTCCACTCCTCACCTTGGCATCAGGTGCCCCTGCTTCCTCTCGGATCAGCACCAGATGAGTCTGTCCATCCACCAACATCTCTTTCTTGTACTGCTCACCTATTGAGAAGAATTAAAAGCTTTTAAGAGATCCAAAGCTTTAAGAGATCCAAAGTTCATCAAACCTTTCCACACTTTCTATATTTTAGATATTATCATCCCATCCTTCCCCTTAGTCTTTACATTTGCTCAGGCATTGATTTTACTCCTGGATCTTTGGCCCTCATCCCTAGGTAATGTGCTCATGAGAACTTACTCTCAGTCTTCTCCAGCACCTGGTATGAACCAGTTAGGAATCGATGAATGAGTGATGACTTCCCACTCCTGGCATCACCCAGCACACCCTAAGGAGGAAGGTGGGGAACAGAGAGAGTGGGAATTAAGAGGGGGCAAGATGCTTGAGTCTGCACACACTTGAAAACCCACAGGGAATGGTGGTGTCAAATCACCCAAGGATGTGCTCTAAGGCCCACAGACAGCTAGAAGAGATAGCTGGGATGAACAGAGCATAGTGCAATAATAGGTGATCCCAAGCTTGAAGTGGATCACAGGCTGAACAATGTTAGTAATTCAGTACAGCTTTTTGGGTTGTTTAGGAACCCTATGAGGCGTGTGTATGGTTGTGTGTACACATTAGCTGTCACCAGCCTAGGCAGTGATTGATCGGAAAGTTTTACCCAATAGAACCTGAAGGGCTAAAAGGACAGATGACAGAAAGGAGAAGCCTGGAACTGGAAGAGGACCGTGGGGGATGGGGAGAGGGGGGAGGAAAAGGAAGAGAAGAGAAGAGAAATTAAGAGAAGATAAGGGGGGGGGAGGAAAGGAAGGAGGGAGAGAGAGATGCGAAGGAAACAGGTAAGAGTGTGGTGGGTGAGGTCAGCCTTCCCATGCAGGCCAGGGCCTGGGTTACCTACCAGGCGCAGTTCAGGAATGGAACGGCTCAAAGTCCATTCCTGGCTATTGACCACAGCCTCTGTAAAGAGAGGGGAAGTAAGAGGAGAGGCTCAGGTCTACCAGGACTCCTGACTCCCACCACAGCCTCTCCTTGTGGCTCCCTTAACTCCCGAACCCTTGCCTGGCTGGTGAGGCGTTGTGGAACAGATAGGTCTAATAGTGGTCCCCAGTCCTCCCATCCCAGCCAGCTCTCCCCACAGCTGTTGCCACCACTCAGTGGTTGCTTAGCAACAGAGCTAGGAAGACAAAAATACTTCATTTGGCATCTCTTTTAAAGCATATCCCGAAACGTAGGTCCCTGCCCCAGACCAAGAGACCTGTAGCTAGCTCTCCCGGGACCCCACCCCAAAGAGAATAGAGGAGCTTCTCCCAGTTAAAGACAGATTCCCCCACCCCACCCCCGACAAATCGCAGCAGGAAGTGCTGAGACATGGAAGAGAGTGGTTGTTTCGTGGTCTCCATTTCACAGGCGAGATCCTCAGGTGAGGGCTTTCCCTCCCGGCTCTTCAAGGTCAACGGGCACTGCGGCCTTGACCCTCTCCCCGCATATAAGGGATAGAGCTTAGATTTTCCTGTGCCTGGGTCTCCCACAGCCTCCCCACAAACACCCTCCAATAGAACTGCAGGGAAGGGAAGAGAAGGGAAGGGCTCCATCCCCTGGCCGTGAGAAGCCACAGGCCTGGGAGGAGGCTTCTCCGGCCCGCCCGCCCGCCCGGGTCCGGCCCGCCCGCCCGCCCGGGTCCGGCCCCCGCGCCTGACACTGGCCGGACGTTCCCGGGGCGCCGCAGCTGCGGCGGGAACTCTGGGATCCGGAGCCATCTGCTCCCACCCGGTTCAGAAGCCAAACCCCGGGGGCCGCCCCCGCTTCCAGACCCGCCTCCCCTCCGGGGAGTGTGAGCCTGAACCGACTGTCTCCGCTTCATCTCTCCCCGAAAATACAAAGGCACCCCTTGGTGTGTGGGTGGGGGGGGGGACACCATCCCACTACCTTCCCCATACTGCCTCCCAAGTCTCCCAGGGTAAGAATGGTCTTTGCAGCAGTTCCGCCCCCACCCCACCCCCCTGACTCACTCCAGGGTCAGCCCCGGGCGGGTTTCGAAGCCGCTGTCGTGGGGCGGGGGTGGGTAGTGGGGGAAGCCAGGCTTCCTATCAGCATCCCCCCCCTCCCTCAGTGCACAGTTCAATTTTCCGCACGTTCCAGCCCCCGCGCGCTCGCAGACCGCCCCATCCACCTTCACCGCTCAGAACACAACCAGCAAGCCTGCACGCCACCCCGGAGAGGACCTGTTCCAGGCGAGCAACTGCCTGCAAGGTCATTGTCACACTGCCTGCTGGTGGGGAAACTGAGGCTTCCACGCGTCTCCCTCCCCCTTCCTCCAGTGTCCCTGTACACCACGCAAAGCGGTGTTTTTCTGCTTCCAGAGTCTAGCTGAGGCTACAAGTAGGATCTGGGGTTTCTCTGGGAGTAATATAATATATATATATATATATATATATATAATATGCAACATATTATATATAAGTATATATATATATGTATATGTATTCTTACAAGCTTTGACCAAGGACGTTATTTTCCCAGAAAGCTCTCTGAATCCCTCTGAAATCGAGTCACCCATCTCTCATGTCGCTCAGTGTAGCTACTCACCGCGACTCCTTACCCCAGACCTCGCTAGGGGAGTGAACCCAAGGGCTAGTCCGCCCACCCAAGAGAAAAGCTTCCCTGGTTTCCGGCACGTCGCTCCCCGACCCCCAGACTGATCATTCCAGATACCCTCACCCTCCCGCTCGGACCCTGACCCTACTCACTAGGGGAGGCTCGGAGCTCCGCGCCCAGGAGCTCCCTGGACCCGCTGCCAGAAGACAAGCCTGGGGGTCCGGGAAGGGGCCCGGAGCCGGGAGGCCCCCCTGTGCTCTTAGTGAAGATACCGCTGATAAACTTGAGCATCTTGCGGTCACGAGTGGATGCTCGGCCCCCCTCCCGGCCCCTTTTCAGCCCCGGAGCTGGAGGCTCCAGGGTGATAGGAGGTGCAGGCCCGGGGGGCTGCGCGGAGGTGGTGGGGATGGTGGAGGCAGGCGCCAGGGCTGCTGGAATGGTCAGCGGAGGAGGCGAGCCGGCAGGTGGTCCCGGGTGCAAGTCACTGTTGTCCAAGGTCTTGCTCTTGCCTTTCCTCGGGGACAGCTTTCCTCGGGCTCCAGCCCCAGCCCCGACCCCACCAGAGGTCGGGGCCGCAGCGCCTCCTCCTCCTCCTCCTCCGGCGGCGGCGGCCACGGCAGAAGCTCCAGTCCCAGCGCTGCTCTTTGACCCCTTGACCCTGGGCTTGCCCTCGCTCTCGGGCCATGACAGGCGGCTCCCCGCGCCCTTGCTGGCGCCGGCTTTGGCTCCACTAGTGGTCACGGTCTTGCAGGGCTTGGGAGCCGGCGGGGGAGGCGCCACCTTGAGCCGCCGGCTGCCCGTGCCTGGGTGAGGGGAGGACGAGCCGGGGACGCCGCCGCTCGGCCGGCCTTCGGGCTCCGGGCCCCCCCAGCTCGGGCTGCTGAGTAAAGGGCGCCGGGAGGAAGGGGGGCCGCCCCCGGGCTTGGTGTCGGGGCTCAGCCCCCCGGGGAGCGGGGGTCCCGGAGGGGCGGCCCAGAGGGAAAGGCGGCGGCCGGGAGCCGGGGAGACCG